CTGGCGATTTACTTGTAAAAAATCAGCCATTGAAAACCCTGTGCCTTGACACTGGCTAGTTTTAGTTTTATATCCATAATTGCATTACATATAAGTGCACTAAACAGTCCAGTTAAAAAATGGAGGTAAGACTTGATTTTAAATACACAAATGCTAAAGTGTTATTTATAAGAGACATAGTTTAAGTAATTCTGACTCATAGGTACCCTATAGGGTAGAGCATATAGGGTTTCCAAGGCTGTAATCTATACAGAAGCAGACTGCCATCCTCCCGTAGAATGGCAGGTAGGTTCAAACCACCAACCTTTCAGTCAGCCAAGCCCTTTAACTACTGCACCACCAGGGCTCCTTATTTTAATGACACAAAAAGAAATTAAAAAGATGGAAAAAACATACAAATGCTAACCAAAAGAAAGCCAGGTTGAGGATGGAGGGGTAATCGTGTTCTAGATCGTAAATATTTATTATTTCTGGTGATGGGAGAAGTGGCGCCAAATGTGGCTATAGTAAGCACAGCTTGACCAAATAAATGACATCACTGAGAAGTTCTCAAGAGAAAAAGGATGTTTGTACTCAAGAATTTGATGTTATATAATTTACCAACAAATAAAGGCCAAAAAATAGTGTTATCACATATGTATTTGTATTGGCATAAAAGTATACAAATAGGTACAGGTATATACATAGGTGTTCACAGAAGTATTTATACGTACATGTAAGTACAAATACGGGCATGCAGGCACTTACATTCATAGATGACACAACTATAGATACTCCTTAGACATAACCAAATGCTTTCTGAGATTGGTTTTCTAGGTTTAAACGCTTAGGACCTTAGACTCATGGGACAACTCAGTCATTTGGCATAATATAGATCACAAAGTTCTTGTTCTACATCCCAGTTTGATGAGCTTAAAAGGTGGTTAGCAGCCAACCCAAGGAGGGGTCACTATGAGTCGGGGCCGACTCGACGGCAAATAACAACACAACAACAACAAGAACTGCTGGTCTCTACTTGTTAGGAGCAAAAGAATAAGAGAGAAACTGAAGTCTCAGGGAAGAAACAAGCCTACAAGACTAAAAGCCTACATAATCCATGGCCTCATCTATCCTAAGATCAGAAGAACTAGGTAAAGCCCAGACTAACTGGACCAGTTGAGACCAGAGGGCTTTCTGAGACTGGCCCTGAGATAACCCTTTAAACCTCAAACCAGAACTCTTCCCCTGAGATCACCTTTTAGCAAAACAACAGAGTAGCACACAAAATAAAGGATAAAATAATGTATTCCTTTAAAAATCCATCTGTTTGAGAACAAAAGGTCACCATTTACTCTAAAGCAAAGTTAGAAAAGATAAGGGGGCAGGGAAACTAGAATACTGGAAACAGAACCACCCAAACGCAGAATGTTGACACATTGTTAAAAATATAACAGTGTCACTGAACAATTTGTATAGAAATTGGCAAAGAGGAACCTAATTTACTTCGTAAACTTTCACCAAAAATGCAATAAAATTTTATTAAAAAGGAAAGAAAGCTAGTTTAACAGTAACTTTAAGGAAGAATATTACTAGAGACAGAGAGGAACATTTCATAATGATAAAGGGGCAGGCAGTTCAACATAGAAACACAAAATTCCACAATTTATTTGTGACTAAATATATAACTTCAAATTATATAAAACAAAAATTAGTAAGCTTGAGATAGCCTAGTTAAATATTTAGATGAGAGTGAGAATATAAACAATTTGTACATTGCCAGTTTTTAAAGAACTAAAAGATAAACATCTGTCTGATTATTTCAAGAGGATTCTGAAAGAACTTACACATGTAACAAAAAAGCATCAACTACAGGCTCATCTCACCGGCTGTCCATATCAAAGTTAACAGTAAGCTGTTTTCACTAGTGTTGTTTAGAGACAGTAACACACCTTGGCAGGTACAAACCAGTATACAGTATTTAAATTTATTGAGCACTGAATATGATACCATGTGATTTTAAGTATATCAGCAGTCTTAGAATCATTCTTTCTCATTTTCTACTGGGGAGTAGAGGAGAGAAACAACTGTCTGCTGTGCCAAGGACATTATAGTACCGTCTTACACCACATAGTGTCCATTCAGGCAGTGTCTGACCACATGCATGTCCGTAGTCCCATAAAGTTGTGATAGAATTCAAAAATCCTGACTGGAGAACGGGGCATGGCTAAGGCAACACCGTCCCACCCACAACACATGTATCTCATGTCTCTTGTATACAAAGCAGTTGTGCTGCCAGATATATGATGGTACAATACACATATACATATGTCTTGATAGACATAGTAAATGCTTCCGTTACTGGCTTATGTATGTGCTATACTTTCTATGTAAAAAGTTTACCATTTCACAGTGTATGCTTCAACTCATAGGCAGCAGCATCCAGTCTCATATATCACATGTCTCTTGAGTGTTTTAGTGTTACTTCTGTGTTTAATTTTCTTTTGAAAGTATTACCATGAAGTGCATCATGGCTCCCAAATGCAGCAAAACGAGTGCTAGTGACAGTAGCAGCAAGACAGGAGAAGTAAAATGAAAGATTATTAAACAACACAATGGTGGAAAATCAGTGAATACTGTTATCGTGATTTAGGTATGTCACACTCAACGATCATGATGATCCTCAAAAATAAAGAAGAAATTCTCAAGCTGTTAAAGGATTGCATCCACTGAAAGCTGCAAGGCTAATGAAAATACAAGAGGGAACTATATCAGATACAGAGAAATTGCTAATGATGTGGATTGAAGACCCAACCCAAATGCAAATTCTTCTCAGCATGTAGGTGATCATGATCAGGCTATTATATGGTGTTCATATGACAGCCAAATCATATGACATCCTATTTCATAGAATGTATTGTGGACGTTAAGTAACACATTTTTTGAAGCTCACGAATTTCTATAATAGTGCCCTTTAAGATAACTATTTTCATCCCATAGATACGGAGTACTTCTAGTACATTTCTGCCATATTTTAATTTCATAACTATTGAAATAAAAGGAGTGCTGGTGTAGTTTTGATTATCAGAAAATTCTGAAGGGTCAAACTTTGATTATTAGAAGTTATTTTTGTCAGACTTGGGCTTATTTAATCAATCTCAACAATCAGTTAAAATAATGGAAAAGTATAACAAAGGTTATGAACAAAAGCATAAGATGGAAAAAAAAAAAAAAAAGGTACCTTAAACTGTGATATATCCTCACTGAATATTCCCTTGCTGCTCTTTGCTTGCCCCTGACAACTTCTGGTTGTATTTCTGTGGTTTGTAAAATGAACTGGATTTCACTTACAAAGATGATACACCCTACTTAGATGAAACTTTTAAGTATTGGGCTCTACAGTAATAGTCATGTAATTTCCTTATGTAGTAAATAAAGGTGTATTTCTCAGAACATATACCAAAAAATAGAAATAATGATTTAACTGTTACATTGGTTCATTAAAAAAAAAAAAAAAACCTCACTGCCATCGAGTTGCATCCAACTAATAGCGACCCCTCCTTGGGTTTCCAAGGCGGTATCACTACAGAAGTAGATTGCCCAGTCTTCCTTCCAAGGAGTGGCTGGTGGGTTTGAACTGCCAACCTTCTGGATAGCAGTCAACTCACTGATTTTTTTCAAGGTTGTGGAAGATGCAAGAGATGGGTCTGACTTGTCAACAGGCAAGGGACTTGGTGTGGAAAATGGGAAGAACCCAGCTGAGGGCTCCATGATACTGTATAGTATCATGATACTGTATAGTATGGAAAGAAAATTTTGATGGCCTGTGACAGCACAGGGTGAGCTGTTCTTGAGCGAGGCAAGATGGGGAAGATGACACAGGCATACAAGAAGGGAACTTTTTCAGGAAAGTGACTTGATATAAAGTTGCATAGTCAGTATATTTGACAAAACCAGTACTAGAGCTCACTTTTCTAAATTCTTGCTTGAAAGTTCTTTCAGACACTATGTTGCCACTGATTATTAGTCCAGTTTTGATTGAGAAGTATCATTATCTCAAAGGGACACCCTAATTTGTCAGAAATCAAATGGAATTGGCTTTTTTATTTTGCTGCTTTTAACTGTGATTTGGGTGAAAGTTTACAGAGCAAATTGGTTTTCTATTCAAATACATTCACATTCTGTTCTGTGACATTTACTACAATCCACACACTAATAGCATTTTTCCCACTTCCTCCCTGTGTTCATCTGTTCCGTTTGTTTTTCCTTCCCATCCCCTCCCACCTTCCTAGCTCTGTCCCTGGGCAAATGCTATCCTCTTGATCTCACATGCTTGATTTTTCTAATGAGTGCAAACCCTCCTGATGTTACTGTTCACCATATAGTCCTATCTACCATTTGGCTGCCAATTGACTCATGGGGGTGTCTGAGAGTTCTACCAGTCCTCATTGGGCCAATATCATTTATGATTTTTAGTTTTGTTCCACATTTCCCCTGACTCTGCCCAGGACCTTTATTGTGATCCTTTCCAGAGCAGTCAGCAGTGGTAGCTGAGCACCATCTAGTTCTTCTGTTCTTAGGGTTGTGGAGGCTGGGGTTCATAACCAGACACCTTGAGGGAATAAGTTGCTGGGTATGGAGGCTTAGGACCATAGTCTCAGGGGAACAGTAAGGTCAATTGGTATGACATAGTCCACACTGGGTCTTGAAAGTTTGTGAGCAGCCATCTAAGGGGCAACTATCAGTCTCTCCCTGTCCAAAGCAAAGCAGAGTGAAGAAAATCAAAGATGTTGGAGTTGACTTTTAAAGGCATATGTGTGAAAATTTGGGGGGGGAATGAGAAAAATAGATGTTGAAACAAATTAGCATTACTTTGCCTTTTAATATTTATTGCTTTGTTGAAAGCAGCATTTCATGAAACCAAGTTACGTTACTTCAAATCAGTTAGCAGCTAGGGGATTTGTCCTGTTTTGCTACTGGTGGTTGTGCTCGTTGTTTTTTATTGTTTGAATCTTGTAATTTAGGTATGGTGAACCGTGAAGTGCTGGAACAGGTGGAAAGAGGATATAGGATGCCTTGCCCTCAGGGCTGTCCAGAATCCCTGCATGAATTGATGAATCTTTGTTGGAAGAAGGACCCTGATGAAAGACCAACATTTGAATATATTCAGTCCTTCTTAGAAGACTACTTCACTGCTACAGAGCCACAGTACCAGCCAGGAGAAAATTTATAAGCCAAGTAGCCTGTTTTATATGCACAAATCTGCTAAAATGGAAAGAACTTGTGTAGAGTTCCTCACTTATGTACAGGAGTCAAAAGAAGAAAATCTTCTTTACTCTGCATGTTTTCTATGGTAAACTGGAATTCCAGACATGGTTGCACAAAACCACTTTTTTTTTTCCAAGTGTTAAACTGTAAAGTACCAATGATACTCCAACTTTTTTCAGGGTCCAAAGAAAGTATGGCTAAGATATTGATGACAGTGTGAGTGATAGCATGACAATGAAAAGCAGCAAGGCTACTGTTTCTTCCCCAAACTCAGAATTGTTAGGGGAAAATCATTATAGACAGAACCTGGGATATAAAAAGTAATACCATAATAAAACCTAAAATTAAGGAATTTCATGGGACCAAGCAATTCCATTCCAGTTTTTAAAAATTCCTTGCATTCGTTATTTAAAAAAAAAAATTTCTAAGTTGAACAGTTAATATGTGGTTTTAATATATGCTTCCATTGCCCTGAAAATAGAGGCGCTCTGGTGGTGTAGTGGTCAAAGTATTCAGCTGCTAACCAAAAGGTCGGTGATTCAAACCCACCAGCAACCCTAGTGGAGGGAGATGAGGCAGTCTGCTTCTGTAAAGATTTATAGCCTTGGAAAGTCTTGTGGGCAGTTCTGCTCTGTCCTGTAGGGTTGCTATAAGTCAGAAGTGACTCAGTGGCAGTGGATTTAGTTTACTTTTTTGCATGAAAATGGGCCAAGTTTTACAGAAGCACAAAGGAATATTAACAGTATCTATAACTTGATTAAATTCAGACCTCAACAGTGGAATTTGAAAGTATAATGCAGTATATTAATACTCATAGTCATGGAACTGGAAAGTAGACTAAGAAATTTTTTCACTTTAATCATTTTCTGAATAGTTCAGTTTAGAATAGTGAAGGTAATTAAATGAGGTGATCTTTTATAAAACTGCATTGATTAAAACAAATGAAAGCAAATATGTAATTGAAATTGTACTGTCAAATCCACGGGGAAAACTTTTCATCTCCATATTGCATGAAAAATAAGACCCAGCATTTAAACAGTCCTTTAAAAAAAAAAAAGATTTGGTACTATGAGATGTTGCTAATATGTACTTAAGGTGATGGGTGCCACAAATACAAAATAACACTAGATCAGGGACTTAAATGCACTTTTGCTGTTACTGAATATAGACTAACAAAGAAGAAAATGTATTGAAAAGAAAATGTGAAAGTTTTACAGGTGGAAGGATGGAATGTAATGTTTATTGTTGATGTCATGGAGTAACAAATGGCTTTGCTGGCACTCAAAGCCCCTCGCTTGTGTATTCTAAGACTTTAAGAGTTACAAGGTATAACTATAATACTAATTTTTCCTAACATAATACACTGAGTGTTAGATCTTCAAAACAGTGAAGTTTTCACACTTACTACAGTGATAATGGCTTTTACTCAGAGCATTTTTAGAACTCCAGTTTTCATCTACATTTACTTTTTAAATAGGCTTACCGATGATCATGTTTTCCCTTCTAGAATATAGTTGATTTGGAGAGGAAAACTTATTCAAAATAATAGCAGTAGTGAAAAGGGGGATAATTTTTGCCCATGTATAGTGTAGATGTGAAACATGAAGATTTGTTTTTTATTACTAACTCAGAAAGAAATTCCAAAATACAGATTTGAAGAACAGCATTACTGGTTTAAGTGGCTAGCAAAAGAAAAATTGAATCTGATAAATGAAAGTCTGATATGTAAGTTTTAAAATATTTTGTAATCATATATAAAAGTAGCAACATCAGGCCCCCATATTTTAGGGACGTAATTTTTATCTACTATTCCTTATCTTATTTAGTCATAAAATTGAAAATTCTGTGCCATAGTATTTGTGTTGAAACTCAGACCATTTTAAATGTGACAAATGAATTTCATGCAAGTTGGCAACAGTTCTGGTACTAAAATTTGCAATTGTTTCTTATGTTTACGTGAGCTGGTTAGTTTTGAATCCCTTTACCAAGAGGATCTTCTGAAGGAAAGTGCCATTGTTATTAACCCTAACATCTACAGTCTGTGACATCAGATTTTTAAAGGGCTTTATGTGAACTGACACTGTAATTTTTCTAAGCATTTAAAAAAGGGTAACAGAATTATGTTTATGTACTAATAATGCTGTTAAGAAAAATAAGCCATGAAAGTTGAAGGTATTCATTAGGTTTTAAGTGAATGGCACAGTTCCTTGTAATAACAATTGTGTAGTAAGGAAGTAAAACACTAACTTAATGTTTATGAGTTGAAATGGTTATGTATTTTTAAATTGTCATGAAAAGTAAACAACTTTGTACATTTGAAGATTTTTTTAACAGCTCTTCAGTATCTTGATGTGGAACTTAACCCTTATCAAAAACGGAAGTTGGCAAAAACAACCTTGTAGCACAAATACTTTTTTAAATGAATAATGGTAGCTTAAAACTTAATATTTTTTATAAAGTATTATAATATGGTTTTTGTGGATAATTGAAATAAAAGTTCTCATTGAAATGCACCTGTTTACCTTTTTAGTTGCTATTCATACTGTCTTATCAGTGTTTTAAAAATTGGTGTTAAACCAAAGTATATTCTGAATTATTTTTCCATAGCTAAAAATGTTCAGTTACTTAAACTCCTGAGCAGACTTAAATAAGTTCTTTATTAAATATAGAACATTATAAATCTCATTCTGTGTGACTAATTTTCCATGTCAGGTGAGTGACATGTTTTAAGTTGTACTAGCAACTACTGTTAATGTATTATATAAAGAAACCTAAGTCATTTAGGTCAAGCTATTCACAGAGAATCTAAGTGACAGGTATACAATAGAATGACCACTTTGGACATTAACAGATTTAATTTTCAAAAAATGTGTGGCCTTAATTTGTGTGTGTGCTTTTACACTTCCTCTATTATAAGTATAATGAAAAGAATAAATGATCTAATACTAAATTATGAATGACCAATCAAAATCATTTGCTATTGTCAATTAGGTAATAGTATTACTTTTTAGTAGTATATTATCTAGAATTGTTACTAGCCTTATTTTTCCTAATAATTTCATAAAAGTAACATTTAATCAATACAGACACTTCATTGAATAAACATTATGTATTTTATACAATATAGTAACAGTTCCTGAATTTAAGAATGTTTTCCATTTGCCTTTTAATTTTGCATGTAAGTTTTTGACATTTAAGTTGTACATTAGTATGTTGTCAAGTCTATTTGATATTTTTCTGTTTTACATTTCAATTCATTTAGAAGTAATTTGGGAATCTAAAATGTGATGTAAGGATATAGTACCACCACTCATCTTTCAGTTTGTCATACTGTGGCGACATGTGTGTTGCTGTGAGTTTGGGGGCTGCAGTGAATTGCTTGATGTGGCCCTTCTAGCTATTGTCCTCCATTCTGTGATGTTTTGTAAATCCCATTCTCCATGCCTATTTGGGGTGGTGTGGTAGTTAAGGTCAGGTATCAACTTGGCTGGGCAGCTGGTAGTAGTCATTCCCTATAATGACTGGCAATCGACTCTGTGATGGGATTTAGGTTAATTCTGTTGGGGCAACACAGGTGGAATGTATCTTGAGTCCTGCCTTGCTGGAGGGTATAATTGAAATCACTGCCCTTAGCTTCCCTGAGGGTATACCTATGAATCTCCTGGGAAGATTCACTCTCCTCTTGCTTCGGCTTTGTGTCTTGGATCATCCTCATCTCACCCCTGGATTTGGGACAGCAGCCGTCATCTGATCTGCTGATTGAGGTTCATCAAACCCCGAGAGTTGGGAGGATCCGCCAGACCTACTCATGGACCCGGGACTCACCAGCCTGCCAGCCTCCACCACTACTACGTGAGACGAACCCTTGGGTGTCTGTGAGTTCTGTGAGGCATTACAGCGAAATACAGAACCCTAAGACTAGGGAAATTACTGGGAGGAGGAGGAGGAGGAGTTAATGTCTGAAATTATGGAGTGGCATGGTAATTTGGACATTTGGGACATCTTTAACCTCTGCCTCATGGGAACCGGCTTCGTGCTGATCTTTCTAAGAGAAATTGTTCAAGCAGGGGCTATGCAGGAGTACCAGCAGGGTCACCCATGGAGGACAGGTTTCACTGGAGCTTCCAGACTAAGACTGGGAAAAAGGATAGCCCATCCACTTCTGAAAAAATTGGCTAGTGAAACCTTATGAACAGCAGTGAAACACTGCCTGATATTATTACTGGAAAACTTTATGAATATCCCTGAAACATTGTTTAATACAGTGCCAGGAGATGAGTCCCTCAGGTTGAAAGGCACTGGGGAAGAGCTGCCTCAAAGTAGAGTTAACCTTAATTATGTGGATGAAGTAAAGCTTTCAGGACCTTTATTTGCTGATGGGGCATGACTCAAAAAGGGAAGAAACAGCTGCAAATATCCATTAATAGAACGTGAAATGTACGAAGTATGAATCTAGGAAAATTGAACGTTGTCAAGAAATGGAATGCATAGGGGGATTGGAAGATGGTGCCATACCTGTAGCCCACACGTTTGCTCCTTCTAGCATCTTAATTCCTGAAAAACTAGGTGCAGTAGTTTGAAGCAGGGATTCTGGGGCTGTCAACAGCTCATTAAGTTAGGGAAGGCCAGATTTAGTGGAAGAGGAGAAAAAATAAGGGTAAGCAGCTGGGAAAAGTAAAAATAAACCTGCCTGGTGGTATGTGAGGTGGTGAGGCAGAGAAACAGAAAACTCTTAACAATACTGGAGAAAACCACAGAGAAAATAAGAAAGGCAGTACACCAGGGAGCCAACAGTGGCTTTGGGGACTCAGACTACCCACAGCAGCAGCTTCTGATGGTAACCTTGGGAACTGAGCTGAGTAAGTGGACATTTCTAAGAAACAGCAGAAACCCCTCTGGCTCAGGTTGCCACTGAGTCAGGAGCAGAAAGGGGGAAGGGAGGAAATGCACCACAGGTAGACAGGC